TACCACTTGTGCCCAACCGCTGGGAAACCAGAAACGACCTATCTGACGCAGATAGGCGCTTGGGCTACAACCATTGCTGCCCCTATTGTTCGGGATTGGAAGTCCGAACAAGCAATTCAACCCAGGACCTCGCAAAGCCGAAGCGAGAATCGGACGACTAGACTAAGCGGACAACTGAATAGTAGAAACCCATAAATTTCCAGAAACACCCTATCTGACGCAGATAGGCTGCTAGGCTCCGTGGCCACATCGCGCCACATCGCGCGCACCAACCCCGACCTCACCCAATATTTTGGTATTTCAACGACCTAATCCTTATTTCCATTTTGAAATAGCGAATTACGACCCAACGACCTATGAAATATTATAGCTCAGCCAGATGTATATACATTTACCGCAACGCCCCAATAGATCCAAAGTAGAAGCTGGCGGATTTCAATCTGCAATACTGTATATATAATTGTGTAATATATATGTATGTATGTGTACCTTGTTATATCATTTCTGCACATACTATATGTGTATTAGACAGCTTCCAATCGTCTGGAGGATACTTTCTCGACAGTCCTCTGAATAGAGACTTGACATGATGCCAGACACGGGATACATCGATGTCACATTGAGGGCAAGCCACTGAGTACTTGTAGGCGGGCAATTTTTTGGACCACGTGCTCATCGACTCATCTACTGAAAAGAGAGCCTCTAGATGATGTAGTCGCCTAAGATTCCTGTCCAACTTTTCAACACCATGCGCCTGTGCCCGCCTGCGCCCGCCTGCGCCCGCCTGCGCCCGCCTGCGCCCGCCTGCGCCCCCATGCCCCTGATGCCCCTGATGCCCCTCGCGCTTTCCAGGAGATTGCTGAAGAGATGGCAGACCAGTCCGACGGCTCAGGATTCAGCAGATGGCGGGAGCCGCATCCAGGGTTGTGGGTTTTGTGGAACACGGAGCTCCGCAACGTCTCCTGAGCTGCTCTCCCTTCTAGATGGACAAATACAAAGCCAGCTTTGTTCCTGGAAGAGTCACGGGTAAATATGTCAGTTGTATGGAGTGTTTTTGGGTATGTAAACATGAATGAGAGAGTGGTTGAGATCAACAACTAAGAAAGCTCACTGTTGTTTGACCGCAGCTGGCTCGAAGATGCATAACTAGAAATTACAAATGACTGAGGACTGTAACAGATGTGGAAAAGGAATTCACCATGGGGAGCTCTTTAAAACACGTGGACAGTGGGTTTGTCTTTGCGTGTATGATCCTCCTTAGATAGCCTTCACTACATCCTGAATGCAGAGCAGTGCAGAGCTCACTCAGAGCGGTTTGTTCTTCAGGTGCCAGACCAACTCGTTGACTCTCATCTGCTCCGAAAAGCACAGCCCAGTTTGGTTGCATTTGGGTCACCTTCCCAGAGCCTCAGAAAACCAACTTTGATCAAGTTGATCTCTCATGATCTCTCTCATCTACCAGCCCCAGCCAAGCGATTTCGGGCGAAATTGATCCCATCACAATTCCTGCAGTCCTACCTCATTCACTTTTAGCCATGTCTCCTTCTCGCCGGCTTGGTCCGGTCGTTGGTCTCGCCTTTTTCGCCACCGCTCTGCTGCGGATTCTCGACCGCTCCGCTTCCCTCAGCTTCGCAGTGGAGAATCCGCTGAGCACCTTGAGCCGAAAATCGCCTTCGTTGGGGCTGTGCACACTGGGGTGATGCCCAACGTGAACGACTGGGCTTGTTGGTGTTGAACGAAGGAAGCGTCTGTTTCAGAAATGACAGAGTGAAGCTCTGAAAAGGAGTGGAGCTGGTATGTCTACCGTTACTACCGTTCCTGTAATCGATTCTCCACGGGTTTTAGCGTTTTCTCCACTTATATCCGACAAGTACATGGGTCCCCATGGGTCTATTTAACATGATTCAACTCTTCACTTGACCCCTGGAACCGCCTGGAACCGCCTGGAACCGCCTGGAACCGCCTGGAACCGCCTGGAACTGTGGATATGGGTGTCTTCCACCGTCTACCTCTGTCTTCCATACTCCTTTGGTGAACCACCGAGGACTCTCTGCTCCACCGAGGACTGCCGAAGGTGCCTCCCACGCCCTGGGACCTCTTCGGAGTGCCGCGCGGCACCGAGGCTCGGTCGAAGAAACCGGGGCAGAAAGCCTCGCCTCGCTGCCCGGTCAGGGGAACCGGGAGCCTGGAAGAGCCCTGGTTTTTTGTTTTGTGTTGTTCTTTAAACCAAAAGCTTTTGGGAATCTGCGAAGATCGCACTTCTTTGTGCTTGTTTTTCCTTTTTCAGAATTTGAATCGATGGACCCCTCGACTCTGTGGGGACGATTCAGAAAAGGACGTTCTGGCGGACTGCGGTGCACTCCTCAATTTGTTCAGTTGCTGACAACCTGCAATTGTTGTTCCAGCATGTTCCAGCTTCTTAGTCTCAATTCTTGAGAGACTTCATCCAACTAACGACTGGTGTGTGTGTGTGTGTCGGGGGGAATTTGCTCTATATTAATATGCCTGCTCTTGTTTATGTTGAAGGCCTCAAACTTTCCACTTCTCGCCCAACAGCTAATCGATGGTTCTGAGATTCTGCTGTTATTTCTGCTTGGTGGCACCTTGCATGTGCAGAACGCCCCGGACGAGATTCCTCAACATCCACCTTTACCAGACCAAACAACACGAAATCATCAGCTGTTTCCTTGGGGAGATTCCTAGAATTCCAGCTGGCACGAGTTGAGTAAGCAACTGACAAGTCAGTTGGTCAAAAAGAACGAGGACAAGGCTGAGATCCGAAAGCTCTTCCGAAAGAGGGTGGCCAGCGAGCACCCCGATGTGTGACTTGGCGATGTTTGATTTCTAGGTGGAGTTATGTGCGTCGGTGGTTCACAAAAGCGTGGAACAGCCTCGTTAGTCACGATTGAGCTGTCCACTTGATGTGGGGGATCCCAATGGATTGCGGGATTGGTGCCAAGAGATCTCAGGGAAATACAACTTAATGACCTCTGATGTAGTTCCTCAGAAATGAACAGGTTTTTCGTTGAGGCTTCAGGGTTACCACGCACAGACTCCAGCTTTGTCTTGAACGAACGCCAGTCAAGATACTGCCTGCTGAAAAAAGGTATTGGTATTGGTACGGTACTACTGTAATATACTGTAATATTCCAGTAATGTTACAGTATCGAAAACAGACTCTTCAAACATAGACAAGTTTTTTGTCCAAGAGCCACATGATAGTTCGACCAACTTCTTGGTTATCCGGGGTGTTTGCGTGATGAGATCGTGCAACCCTCAAGCCTGTCACTCTTGCCTCCTGATCTTCCACACCACCCCAAGACCTGGCGGACTTTGGGTGGCCAATGAAGGGAGAAGCCCAGCCGAACATTTGCAGTTTGCCCACTGGGCACCCAACAAGGCCCCTGCCCAACACGAAGCAAATAACTGGTTGCTACTCGACGTTTCTTTCAACACCGTCGCCGTCTGCGTTTTCGCCTGTTTTCAAGGCACGGAATCGGGCCGAAGAGATTCGGTCGGAAGGAATCCAGAAGATCCTGAAGCTGGAGAACGATTTCAGGAGCTAGTGGCCGCCTACAATTCCATCATGGGCCACTTGGCAAGACAGATTAAGAAACCATAATAAGAAGCCTACAGTATCTCATCTTGGCCCATGTGGATGGGAAACACCTTCTGTGTTTCTATTATATTATTATTGTTTCTTTGAGACTCCGGTGTTTTGGGGGTGTATGTTGTGACTTAATTAGTCAAAGGGGGTTTCTCATCAAAGCAGCATCTTCCTCATGGGGCAAGATACTTTTTGTATCTTTTTGTTTTGTCTGGTGAGGATTTATTTATCTACCCTATCTATAGGTGGTAAACAGTGCGTCTTCGCTGCTCTTGCACCTGGAAAGTAAGCTGGTTACTACAGGCATTGCCATCCTCTACGACAGCACGAGTGCTTCGGGGCCACGGCAGCTACGACAGCAAACCTCTTGTGTTCTTGGAGCAATTCTGTTACCACTAGTGCATAGCAGGGTGATAATCCTTTCGGATCCTATGATTGTGATCCCTTGAGGTGTTGAAGGTGATCCAAGGAGAAACATCACACCCCTACTTGTAGTGGGCAACAAGACATGTTGATCGGGCAAATCATCATCCATCGCTGCTTCTTCCATATATGATAGCTGGAAATAACTGGGAGCTAGTTTCCGAAGGAAGTGTTCATGTTCACTTTCAGTGTTTCTTCACTTCCTTTTTGAACTACCAATTCCCACTGTAGCCATCGACTCCAAAATGAAAACAACTGCCCATCCTGCTGGCAGACGGACTCGTTGCATGTCTTCCCTGCTGGCAGAGCTTCGTTGCGAGGTGACGAGCTGTTGCCCGATGAACTGAACTTTGTTCGTGTGCAGATGACCAAGCGATACAAGAAGGAGTTCCTCGGTGGTGTGGGCAGTTTCGAGGGCCATGTGCGGCCTTCCGAGCGGGCGCATGCAGGTTCCCACAGAGCGCCTCCAAGCTTGACGATGCACCTAACTTGGCCAACTAGGCCCTGAGTTAGCCACTAAAGGCTGCCTCGAACCTCCATTCCAGCTGGATAGAGACTAGTCATCATCCTGCTGGGGTAAGGCGGGGTTTTGCCTTAAGCTCCTGCTTTCATTGATGTCGGTTTTGTCTTACTTGGCATGGACAGAGCTGGGCAGGCTGTCCTTGAAATCAAGAGAGCAAACGGAATTCCACGAGCAAAACAGCAACATGCTGAACCAGCACCACCCAGTTCGGGTGGTTTATAGACCCCCATGACCATGTGTTTTCCATCCAGCAATCATCCTTTGAGCGACCTTTGGCGGTGTATGTTATAAGTTATATTGACGTTTGCATATCGCGCATTAAGACGATTCTAGTGGCCATTCTTGTGTTGACGGTGGCTAGCTGCAAGGTCGTGCATATAGACTATGAATCCGGAAACCACGTTGCATCCATCTGGGGAGCATTCTCAAGTGGTGGCCTACTATCATTACTATCTAGATATCCGTTGGATATGGCAAGGGTAGAGGAGACCATTGAATTGTTCCAACAGTTCACATTCACCCGCTTCGCGAAGGTTGGAGGCCGATCAATCAGCAGCCTGGCTGCAGGCACTGGACCTGCTAACCAGCAGGGGATGGGTGATGGGTTCAAATGATCGCTAGTGGGCCTGCTCCAAGACCATAGGACCAAAAAAACACACCTCAGGCTGAGAAGAAATACTTCACACTCATTATTATATAATTAGTTTTTCTCTGTTAACAGTCACCTGTGCACATGTTACATGTTTCAGCTCTCCGTGTGACCTGTCAACATGTGGGAACAGGACTTCCCTTGTTGAAGATGGCAAAGCCAAGAACTCGCAGGGGTTACATTCCGTCATGAAGCATGGTGAGCACTAAGCATAGCTAAGGATGACATGCAGCTGGAAGACAGGGGGAGTACCTCACATGTACAGCCCGAACAATGTTTTTTGAGTTTCATACAGTGCTACCCCCTCCGTGCTTGGTCGGAATGGGACAGGAGTAGATAGACTATGAACCGACCCAAGAACGGACCAGCTTCCTAGTGGTTTTTAGATTTCCCATTTTCTATCTACTCCAGGATGACTATAGATTACTATACACATAAAGGATCCCTAGACTTCCAAGACCATGTAAAAATGGTTGACCTGGTTTTTGTAGTGTAAAATCCTTAGTTGATTCGGTAAGCCTATTAAATTAATGATTGTTGGAAGCCTAGGGGATGAAAGCCACAAAACCACCGAGTTGTTTTTCCTTTTTGAAACCAGAAAACTCAGAAAACACCCAAAGAACTCGAAAATCAAGCTCAGGTCAAGAACGGCATTTTCTATGCGCTTTTGCCTGGAATCTTGACCTCTGTGATTGGTATCACCTTCTTCACCATTGACTCGCTGGGGATGTTGGATCCTGAGACTAAGCAGATGTTGGATGCCGTGAAGGGCAAGGGCATCTGAGACAGCTCTGAGCCGGGAAAGACCACCGAGACGGCTCGCGCCCAGGTAGTCGGAGCGAAGAGATTGCGCGACTACTCGGCGAATCTTTAGGATCCGAGGCATGGTCTTCTGTGTGAAGACCCGCGATACAGAGGCTTTCAGATTTTAAGATGAGCACTATGGTGTCACCTAGAACCCTACTCCTGCGATCAGCCACGTGGCCAGAAACACCCCAGCTAGGTCTAATTAGGTCTTTTTGGGTCCAAGTCCGAGAGTCCTGGAGTGGAACCGAGTGGAACAAAATTGACACCAAAAAAACAGGGGTTTTCTATCGACGGCATCGGCCAAGAGCTAGTCCCAGACACTTCATGGGACTGGAATGTTTACATTAGGGTGATTGAAAAGGGGTGGGTAAAGGCTTTACAGTAAGAGATGGAGTGAATTGGTCATCTGAAGCCGAGACCCACCTCTGCAAATTTCTCGTCATCTGGCTGAGTTTCGGGCCATCAAGCTGAGTCCCCGCATGACTGGGAGCTGGCTCCGCTTATACTCCGCTTCGCTCCGCAGAAAGAAAGCAAAAAGCTCGGGACTGGGACGGTGATGGGAGGGATCGCATGGAGGAGAAAAAGCGTACGGCGTACGGTATTTCAGGGAAAAAGACACGTTTTCATCCACAACGTTTTCCTCCCAGAATGTGTAACGCCTCTGGGATGACCAAGAGAAACTGTCGACCAGTTCCCTGCTGTGTGGCCCTTTAGGCCGACACCCAGCGGACCTGACGGAGCTGACCTGGACTCGGAAGGCGTGGAAGGCGTGGAAGGCGCGGTGTTCACTGCATGGGTGTGAACCCGCTGCGCGAAGCAGCGACGTGAGTTGGATAGGAGGGGCGCCAATAATGGGTGATGGACTCATGGACGCCCCAAAAGCACGACTGGCAGACGTTTTTTTCCCAGCACGGGTAGAGAAAGAGCTCTTCCATGGACCGTGGAAGTTCGGGTTGGTGATGGGTCGAGGAAATGCGGCTTTGACTCACTTGATGGCAAGAATTGTTCATCAAGTTCAAGAAATCACAGAGGTTGGAGACTCTTGCTTGATACTTTGGTTTCAGGTTTTGAGTCCATTCTTCAGTAAAAGCCTGGGACAAACAAAGGGTCAAGGTGGACTGCCGGGCGTTGTTTCTCCGTGGATTTTCACTTGGTACAAGGGTCGTTTGATGTCGTGTGCATCATGTCGTGTGCATGGCATGGTCCAATTGGAACCGAACGGTCCTTTGGGTTGAATGGTCGGGACGTCGCACGGTGGCAGGCTCCGACGGCCCGACGGGCAAGTCGGAGCATGGTCCCAGCATGGTCTATTAATCCGTGTCCAGCATCGGGTGCTTTTGGGTGCTTCATTTTGTTTGGTACAGTAGATCTTCCAGAACCAATGATTCGATGATCGCTTGGCATTTGAACATGGCCCATTTTGGAGGGTTGGCTTTATGATGGTTCTCATTAGTGTAAATCTTCAGGAATCGTTTTCCTACTGATGTCATTCCCACAAGCTCTTCCCACCAGCTCTTGCTCCGGATCTCAAGACCGATTTCTCCAGAGAAATACGTTCGATCCCCAAACTCAACTCATGAAGAAGTGGCATCACCATGGATCGTCTGCCCAGCCTTTTGAGTCTTTTGATGTCGGGGAAACCATGGGAAAACCCTCTGAACCCCCCATTTCCTACGAAGACGCTGGGCAGTTCGTTCGGTGCACAACGGACGAAAGCTCGTCTTCCGCTTCCGCCCGGAAAGGAGGATCGGAGGATCCCTGACGGAAGTCGCCGGAGCTTCGGCGCTCGAAAACAGCGATAATGCAGACAGGGTCGGTGAAGACGGCTGCCCAGTGCCAAGACCAAAGTATAGTTTGTAGGGATGGTCATTGAATAAACATGACTCTTTTTTCCGACCCAGTGAAGATGGATCTTTTCAACATGTTAAGCATTAAGCGTCCCGAAAGTATGGTAGACCCTGTGAATGTTTTACGTTCCAGGTTTGTTTGATCACCCTCATTGCACTGAAACCAGATTTTTAGCTTACTACAGGCACTGGGTGATAAGTCTGCTGACCGACGCCAGTCATCATGGATCATCGCTGCCTAGTCCGCTCCTGAAACGGGAGGCCACGATCCGGTCGGACAAATGGTCCGATCGCCGCGTGAAGGACTCGTACATAAGAATCAAGGGCAAAGCAGCGAGGTGAAGAAGCTGAGCAAGTATTTGTTTTTCAACATTTGACATGTTTTTGTTTATCAAGAATCGAGAAGAACCATCAAGAATCAAGAACCCCTTCGCTCCACCTGAGAAAGAAAGAATCATGGTGATCAAATGTGCTCAATTGCCTCAGTGAGGGTGCATCTAGTGCACATCGACAGATCGCTTCATGCATTGCAATGGATCCCGAGATGTTGTTTGAATCCTGTGAGAGGAGGTCTTGAGGCGTGAAATTCTTCAGAATGGCCTACACTCCACTCCAGAAGAAACCTTTGATAAGCCGAGCCATTGTATGCTTTGTATTGGCATATAATATTTGGAACCATTTACATAACCACAGCAGGCTCGAGAGAAGTACTGGCAGACATATCATTCATTATGTTTTCTTTACTTTTAATATCTTTTAATTTGGTTTGTTGCTTGGCCAGATATCCTTTCTTTGCCTCCATGCCTGGTTTGCCACTGGATGATGATGGCAGCAGTAAGAGGTCCAGCTAATGATGATGGCAGCTCGCTTCCTTTCCTGGGAGCCTCATGTAGAGCTCGACGCAGCTTGGGGTTGAGCTCTTCTTGCTTGGCTCCTGCAGGAAAGGTTTGGGACCAAGCTTTGACCATCTTTGATCGTAGATGATATGGTCAGTGCCTTAGCACAAGACCAGCGAAGCCAGACTCTTGTTGAATTCCTAGTAAATCTACGCTCTGCAAGACCAGCATGTTGGTTGACTGAAGATGGTCAGTGTTTGTACCCTTTGAGACTTGCTGAAAGAACGACCTGCGCAGGGTGTACATCTGACCTGGGGGGTGCCTCTACAGACTCTACAGGTCACTGCTTAGAGGTTCGTTGTGGTTTGGTGGAAATTTCTTTGCCAAAAGGTTGACGTTTTCGACGGTGGGCACGGCGTTTTTCACGGGTCGTATGCGTCCATCAGAATGTATAGTTGTGCATTGTTGCGCAGAAACTCGAAAGTTAGTGAGTCGGCATATGTTGGCATATGTGTTTTTCTGCTGTCTTGGACGCATGGGGTGCCAGCATGCTGAATGTAAACCAAACACCTGAAGCAAGACCCATTCTGTGCATTCTCAGAGGTTCGGTTCCAGCACTGGAGTGGTTCGCTCTCAGAGGGTCGGCGGCACCACTAGAAAACCCGGCGCCAGGGCAGCTCCGGCCATCTGGTGGTCATGCGACGATAGCAGAATCCAGCGCCCTTGCCAAGTATCCGAGTGTTGTCGCTCAGTGCCCCAGCTCATTTTCCAACGTTTTGCGGAGCTGGAGACGGGGGCCGGGTCCATCGCGAGACCTCCATTGATCTGTCCCACCCAACAAGGCCACGTCGCTGGACACCGAATGGATGCGACACGCCATGTCTCCTACGATGCGGCGCGCGGCTTCCTCAAGCGCTGCTTCGCCAAGCCGGCACGCATGCGCCACTTGGACTGAGGAGTTGAGAATTTCGGAGACGAAGTGGTCTCAATGATATAAGACTACACTCTGTCTCACTAACATCCAAGTGGACCCCCCCGTTTTTAAAGGAAAGTAGTCTTCCAAGGGACACTTTTCCACTTCCATGTAATGTGTTCGTCAGAGTGTATCATAAGACACTGGTGTTTGTTTCAGATGTTCAACACTTGAACCACATCCACCTCGTCGCGTTCGCCCAGAAACTTACCAAACCACCTCCAGCTTTCGCACCTGACACGGTGTCGCCCTTACCTGTGGACTGGCACCTGTGGCCGCCGACGCGTACCGGTGGGACATTCGGACTGAGCCGAGCCGGCCCGCCCGACGTGGATGAGGCTTGCTGTGCAGCACCAAAGCTGGCCGAGAGGGCGGCGAGGCCCTCCAGGTCACCGTCGAGCTGGGTCCAGGCCACTCTCCGGAGGAGAGTGGGTGGTGTCTTCCTCCAGTCCAGCGAAAGAGAAAAGGGCCCAACGGTGTAACGGGACCGGTTCTTTGTCCCGAGTGAGAGTACTTTTGACCCTTGTTGGGGTTGTTGAAGCTGAGTTCCAATCAACTGTGAGCCTCTTTTGTACGTCAGCGGAAAGATGGATCAAGGGGAACAGTAACAACAGCAAATGGCTGACAATCGACGGGATGCAGGAACTCATGTCCCACCTCTAACAAGTCTATCAATCCAGGATTCTAAAGGTTTCTTCGCTCGTCACCTGTGATGGACCTGGAAGACTTGCCGGTTTGAAACATCAACCTGTTCTTGGAGGACCATACATGAAGTTCACTTCTTTGGCCCACGCCAGCCCTAGGCGGACCAGTGGTTCAGGTGCGCGAGGTGAGCATGGCTGATGGCTGGACAGGCTGTCGCTTCTCTCCATCTGCACTGTGGCTAGCCTTGCAGGTTCGAGATGGACTGCCGTGGGGGCGCTGTGGGGACATCTGTCAGAGGCCCTCAGACCCAATGGGGGGGGGG